CCTGGATGAAACGAGCAAGATGATTTAATGGGGTTTCGGAACTAGGATCCATGTCTGGGAGGTTCATATCAGAAGGGGATTGATGTTTTTTCTTGCAGCGAGAACATTCATGAACAAAGTCCGGAGTGTCACGCAGCAGGCCAGACAGCAGGAGCAGCGGTTCCCGAAGCAGTGTTCCTGCTGACAACCGTTTACCAGCACAGCCGCTCTGACAAGCCTCTCATCTTCCCATTTCATCTTCACCTCCTGCATCATTTAGTCCCTGGAGAGTGTGCATACTTAATGTGCGATGATACACGGGTTACTCACCGCCCGCAAAACACAGTCAGAGATATTCACATGTCTACAATCCCGTATGCCCACACAAAAATTCATCATTGAGAACGTAACATGTATTTTGAAGATGACTTTTGGGGTGATTTGGTATATGATAATAACCAGGGCGTTTGATCAAATTCACAGGGAGAATTTTTTTATGCATTGTGCCCACTCTTTCCTGGAAAAATACTTCAGTTGGAGGAAACAAATGTAACAGAAACTCATTCTCCCGGTGATGTGAGAACAAAACCCCCTGGAGAACCCCAAAAGAGGGCCAAACTAATAAAGAAAACTATAACAACACAGAAGAAATGGGGATCAACAAGGGAAACATTACATTACCATAACACAGAGAGGAAAAGATTTAAGAGCACATAGTGTTCTCGCCATCTCAGATTCAGAGCCTACGGAAGCTTTTAAAGTCACCATGAAATCAAAATGAACGAATCTTATTTTTTATGGAATATTTCAGTATTTATTATAAAAGATTCATCCATGCATTGCACTTTTTTTTTTTGTGTCATGTTCCCTCGTAATCTTTAATCAAAATAACTGCTCCGTCTTGCATTGACATCTCTTCATGATGAAGTATTTACTGGCACGAGGGTGGGACAACCTGTCACTCACATGACATCACAGCTGTAGCAAACCACAACCATCCAATGATCCAATCAATTCCGCATGGACAAAATTCCGTCCTATACATTTTTTCTTTTTCAAAAAGTTGTGTCACTCAGATATACGTCACAATATGGAAGCAAAGACTGAATAATGAGTACTGTTGTGTTCTCATTGGTGGAGGATTGGGCGGAGACTAGCACAATCAACCAGTCAGAGAGCAGGTTTCACTGCATGACACACGTTCTCTATCTCTGGTCGAAACAGGCTGATCTACTGTAACAGGTGGCATAGTAACTATTTTCTTCAGCATATTATAAGTGTGTTTGAGTATGAATTAAGTTAAACATTTATTTAGCCTGTGTCACAATATGAGGTAAATCCGGCCCTGGATAAGATACAATTTTTCTTTGATCTATGATTGTTTGGTACATCTAATTTACCGGTAGTGAATAAGCATTTATCTTACAATCGAACAGACGCTTACAATTTTGATATGCAAGTAGTCTTTCTGTCTCTCTGTTATCTGTTTTCAGCGGTTGTTATCTAGGAAATTGCGCTGGATCGCGCGATTGACCAATCAGAATCAAGTATTCCACAGAGTCGTGTAATAGACAGAGTTATCAGACAAATTGAATGCTTTACTGTGCAGTTATGAAACCACATGCATGATAAATTATTTTTTGAAACAATTTAAAGTGCATAAATGAAAAATGATTGTCTGTGAGTCCCTGCGCACAGTTTTAATTAACCTATCCAGATAATAACATTAATAATGAATAACAATAATGTATTCAGACATAACGACGACATTAATATTATATTACAACTTAAATTTTTTTTTTTCAGATCTGGACAAGGGAAAGGTAAGAAGAGAGCTAAGTTTATTACATTGATTTCTGTGGAGAAATGTCTTTGTCCATCAATATTGCAGTGCAGAGTAAATGTCGGGGGGTGTTTGGTGTCAGGGGGTCCCCACTAAGGGCTTTGACATAATTCCAACACTGTAGCCTATAAGACAGGCAGAGCGAAGGGAGAAACCGCCTGTAGTGCTGTATCATTTGTCCTTTGCCGTGTCACAGAAGAGAACAATGCCTTCCATTCAGATTCCTCCCCAGGCGAGAGAGACGTAATGAAAGATAGACTAGATTGTCATTTCCTGTGTTTGCTGTGCTTCTGTAAACACTGGGCGCTGGCACACAGCTGCGCCCCTGATCTATGCCATGATCTCCCGTATACCTCAGGCCTCGCACCGCTCAGATGAACTGTCATCATCATTGAACTTGGCCGTGTGAAGAGTGGTTTGTTTTTGCAGAATAAAAAAAAAAAAAAAAAAAAAAAAAATGCACAAACAATATACAATTATACTTAACATTAGTGTTCATGTTAGCATGTAAGTAATTATGTGATTAATGAGAAATACTAATGAACATAATGTACTTATTATGCTATTAGTTTGTGGAGCAGCTTGCAATTACACATTGCTTTTGTAATTTATTTGATTCATCGTCCAATTTGTGTAACATGAACATTGTAATGTGGTGTTAACAAAAAACACAATTAACAAAAGCTCAAACCCTGAACACTTCATGACAGGAAAATAAAGTCTGCGGTTAATCATAATTGAAGAGACTTGATTTGTAAACATAAAAAGTATATGCGACATATGTAAAATAAGTCATTTTATTCATCTAAGATATTCTGAAAACTAATTAGGATTTCCTGAGGGAACCCATGGCAAATTAGCTTTTTGTGTCAGCCTTCAAACTGACATGTCTGAACAGCTTTATCATGCCGTGTGACATCATTTCCTCTAATGTTCTGGGTGAACAGCAAATCTCTATTTCCCATTCCTTCTCACTTTTGTCTATATCAGTTTTACTTTACCCAGTGGCTATGGCGTTTTCTTTCTTCCAATTCCGCTTCAACTGTCTCATGTCGTTGGTTTTAAATTGATAAAAAACATTTTCTCTCTTCATGTGGTTGTCCAATTGTTTTATTTATTCATAGTCTATATTTATACCTTTTTGGTTATCATGGTTTATTTATGAATCCATTACGTCGTCTTTATATACGTCCTCGGACTGTTCCAGCTGTGAAAAAAAACTTTCTAAATTGCAAATAGGGAGAGAAAAAATTCAGCAAAAGTTTGTATTGGATGGATGGAAAGACGGACAGGTAGGTAGACAGATCTTTCAGATACACTAGATCTATCAGTTAGACAGACAGACAGATATACAGACAGACAATTTATGGATGGAATTCAGTGATGAGTCATTTTAATTCAACAGTTTGAGTATGCTAACCATCTGACCTGTTGGATGCATCTTTATGGTCGGCAATTAAAAATGAAAAATAAAATGAGTTGTTGATTCTCTTGCAGTGTCAGCCTTGTATGAGTCAGATCCGCCCCCGAGTAGGAAGAAAACCCCATTAAAAACAACAACTCAATATCATATTAAAAGATTGTTTTATTCACAATTGAAGTGTAACAAATATAGTTTATCAAAAACTTTTGCTTTAATATAATTTATTACATGATAAGATCGTAAGATTTATATAAATGATGGCTGGCAGTTTGCCAGAATGAAATATGTACAATTAACAAAAAAAAAAAAACGAATAAGAAATAAAACCAAACAATTTCCCACAAAATGAATTGCATTTATATTAAAGAAAAACATAACAAAAACAAATCCGATTATGTGCAATGGAATGATTATCAGCAATATAGTACAGTTACATTTCTGAGGTTGTCTCATGAAGAAATAACAAACGACAAGAATCACAAACGATAAAAAAAGGCATTTTCTATGCAAGATCATCAACACAATATTTAAACGACAAATTTTAATCTGAAAAGCACATCTCCTATTCCTGTTCCAGACTGTCACCTAAGATTCTCTGCGGATTCTCAGTCACAGCTTGAGAAATCGCTTTCACTAAAGAGACAGCACGAAGCGCTAGTCCGCGCTAAGCCGCGGCAGTGCTAAACATCGTTTAGATTCGCAGTATTATGAATACAGTGAACGCGATGTCTTATCTACAGTGTCACAGTGTTTTATGACGGGCCTCCCTCGAGATGACGTTGCTTTCATATATTACTCGCCAGCACACATATAGCAGAGAAACACCATGTCAAGAGTTGCAGTCGCTGGCCTCAAGAGAGGAACCTCTGTGAGGTATTTTTTCCCATGTAGATCCACCAGTATAATACATTGGTTAAAGCACCACGCCATACTAGTTAAGCAGAGTGGGTCAGGTTTTTTTCTTATTTTTGGAAACACAGCCTAAATGTAGACACTAAACAAACCTGTCAACCACATCCTGCTATTCAAACCTCAAGTTTGAGGTGTCAATTTCCCAAAAACATTAATAAGATGGGAATTGGGTCGTTCCTCCTAGAATTGGAATGTGGCTATGTAATGTGTAATAGATGTAGTGATGTATATGCAAGCCAATGTGTCAGATATCTTTCTTATTAGTTTCCTGTGTATGTGTGTGTGTTGTATCCAGTGCCATGGACTGCTTTGCATTCATTGGTTTGCATCATTTTCCATCGAAAATCTTCACTTATGCTGTCACATTGTACAGTAATATTCCTATTCTTTTCTACACGGAGAACCCAAACATACTGATTCACAACTTTGTGCTTTCATGTTAAATCAAAAGACGCAAACAGATAAAATGATAAAATCACAACAGCTAGGCCAAAGTATGTTCAATTCACATTTGGTGGTACATTCAAACAAATATTCACTCCCCTTTTTGACCGACGCTACCCGTGTCCTAATAAAACACTTTCCCAATGGATTTAAGCAGCTTCATCACTGTTAACTACAGAGCCCCTAAAGGGACATGGTGATGGTAAAAAAAAAAAAAAAAAAAAAGAGATGGGATGAAATTTCTGTTTCAATTCTTCTGTTCTCTTGCAAAACTTTTGCATTCGCTTTAAAACTTTTGCGCTTTCTTAAAAAAAAAACGTGTTTGCTTACAAAACCTTTCGTTCCCCCAATAAACTCTGTTCATTTGCAAAACTTTCATTATGGGATGGGAGGTGGAAGGAATAACTATATTTAAACGCTTTTGCGGGCAACGTCAAAGTTTCTCGGGGAAACATAATAAAGAGAATGCAAATATTTTGCAAGCAAACGCAAAGTTTCTTGGAGGAATGCAATCATTTTGCGAGAGAACGCAAAGGCATTGAAATATTTTTCCATCACCATGTCCCATTAGGGGCTCCATAGTTTTCTGCCCTTTACAATGAAAAAAGACAAAAAACCCTACGTCTTGAGTAATAAATTAACACAAAGTACTCTATTTTACATGTCCAGGATAAAAAGTCTCTGCCTCCATTGATTAAGTAAACAATTAAAACACATTTTGAACACATTTTATGCAACAGAGTAAGCTCACGAATGTAGAGGAATGAATGATAAACGACTGTCCATCACAAGCTTAAGAAGGCTGAAGCCAAGTAGGATGAAGCTCTTGGTCAGAGCGAAAATAAATAGAGCGTTGCTATTAAAACATGACTAAATTGATCAGTAAGACTAAAAGGCACTAGTTGACTTGCTTTCCCTACCTTGCTGTAGAATAAAGCGTCAAAATACCGAACCAAACATCACCCGAAAGAAACAGACAGCAAGAGACAGCAAAGTTCGGTGGATATGTCATATCTTCGCTTCTGTAAACACAGATGATTTAAAAAAAATAAAATTAATAAAAAAAAACAGAAAAGGATGTCGATACACTGAGTTACCTATGGCTTTATAAAGTGTGTGAGAGGGCAAATACAATGGAAAACGGTATGGTCTGGTCTCCTCACAGAGGAAATATGGTCCTTCTTGGTCTCTGAGGCTCAGAGACATGTCCAGAGTGTCAGGGACAGAGAGAGAGAGAGAGAGAGAGGACAGGGGCAGCATGCAGAATCCCGAGAAAGAGACGGCAGAGGAGAGAGGGCTGTGGAGAAACACATGAAACTCCAGCAGAAGTTCTGAAGTCCTCTCCAGCCACAGGGGTTTTACACCCATAACTATTGTCCACTGTTAAAGAAGGTCCAGGAAGTTACGTTTCATTGGTCCTTTGGGGTGGGATGAAGATTACTTGAGATGGTTGGCTAACTCTGGGCTGGGTTTCTTAATGACGGGAAGAGGATGAGCCTCCGTGTTGAACACCCACTGATCGAAGGGCAAATGGTCATCGTCTGAGAACAGCAAATACAAATACCTGGAAAAAAAAAAGAGAAAGACAATCTTTTAAAGGGCACTTTATGTTGTATATAGTTGATATAGTAATTCACAGTAAGATTGCCAGTGAGAGATTTGTGATATTTGAGAAAAATTATTATGTACATGAATCAGAAGCATAAACATCAAGGTTATGAGAGGGAAATAATGTATTCTTATAATTGCCACAAAATCTCTCTCTCTCTCTCTCTCTCTCTCTCTCTCTCTCTCTCTCTCTCTCTCTCTCTCTCTCTCTCTCTCTCTCTCTCTCTCTCTCTCTCTCTCTCTCTCTCTCTCTCTCTCTCTCTCTCTCTCTCTCTCTCTCTCTCTCTCTCTCTCTCTCTCTCTCTCTCTCTCTCTCTCTCTCTATATATATATGTATATGTATATGTATATGTATATATATATGCTTTGGCAACATTGTGTTACACAGTCATGCTAATAAAGCTAAATTGAAATTGAAAATATATATATCCATCGAGAAAGAGAAAGTTTTCGGTTTTTCTTTTTTCAGTATTATGTACAATTTGCGACAAGATGGAAATTTTACAGCTCTAATGTAATGCCATAAACTCATAAATACTTTATTTCTGACCATGCAAAAAAGTAATAGCACACCTTCTGATCAACAAACTGCTTGATTTGAGAAATCCTTCATGTCTATATAGCACAAGGGGGGTGGGAATAGCCAAATGGCAAAGTTTAATACTTATGCGCAATAGTAAAAACGAAAACATCACTAATTATCTCCATTAAAGTCAACCTGCATAAATAAATCTACCTCTTAAAATCTGAATGTTCCCTTCGTAATAAAACATGAACATCTCCCAACTAAGTGCTGATGAATTGAAGTAAAACACTGCCAAGACAACAGCACTGTAATAAGGGATGGAGATTACAAACTACAAAAAGTCTGAACATTTTACTTCCTTTGGCTGAGAGTCATGGCTAAAGGACATTGTTTCACAAATGAAGGTCATAATTCAAAACCTGCAGCCAAGGGGGAAAAAAACCCCCACAGGTTTATTTGGAGGGCCGGATGACACTCGTTAAATTACAGCCTATAAACTTTAGCTGGAGACTACGATGCTGACGCCTGTTTCCTGATGAAGTTGTGACCTTGATAATACGGTTTCTAACCCTTCCTCCCTCTCGGTTCCCTCTCTGAACACGCATTGGCTGGAGATTCGCCGATGAAAGGCTCTCTTCTCCACTGCCCCTCTGAAAATATAAGCTGTTGACCTCAGGCCTCCAGAGTTAAAGCTAAATCACGCATGTCCACTGGATGAACCACTCCTGGCAGCTTAAACTGCACCTGAACTACTTTTGCAGCCAGCATGATCTTCAGACCTTCAGTTTCAATGCCCTGCCACTGGCTAGAAAAAATTTGGAAGGTTACGGCCAATTATAAACGAGACTAAGAGGATTTATTTAATGACAGAGGTGACAACAGTATTATACTGCATCTGCAAGTGAAATGGACCCAACAGCTATCAAGCTGATATCCTCTTTTAAATTTTAAATACTTCAAAATGGAAGTATTTGTTATACTGTGATTCATCTGTGCACATCATTTTTTAAATTTTTCATAATCTTTAATCAAAATAACTTCCCCTCTTGCAGTGACATCTCTTCTCTTCTCTGATGAAGTATTTACTGGTGTGAGAGCGGGACAACCGGTCACTCACATGAAATCACAGCAATAGCAAACCACAACCATCCAATCAATTCCTGATGGACAAATCCAAGTCTCGCCATTCGCCTTGTTTGAGAAGCCGTTAAGCTCAATAAGAAAGAAAAAAGACAAAATTAAAACTTCCGTTTCATGCAGACTTTAGTTGAGTGCAGGCGTCTCCTGGTTTTACTATAGTGCTTTTAAGTAAAGCCTCAAAATACTGAATTTAACTGCACCCCAAAAGCAGCAAAAAAACCAACAAAATAAAATAAAACCCTGGGCAAACCAAATCATGAAGTAAAATGGAGGTTCGCATATTCTATGAGAATAGGGAAATCCACACCACAACTATAACGATAACGACGGTAGGAATGTAATTGTTGAAATTACTTTTTAAAGCGATTTTCTTTCCTGCTGGTAAATGATAAAAACATTGATAGCCATTTAGAATCCATCCTGCTTTAATGGATGTGGGCATTTAAAGCGGCAGATGACAAAACTGAAGCATGTGCCTATAGTAAATGAATGTTATCGTGCGTTGCTGTGGACGCCAATATAGTTATCGCTATATCGTTCTTGGTGTGAATGGGCCTTAAATCATAAAGGTTGACATGAGGATAAGTAAATGAACGAATTTTCATTTTTTAGTGTGAACTCTCCCTTTAGTGGTTCAGCATGTGAAGCGGAGCAGATGAAGTGGGCTGAAGTGAGCATGTTAAAGAGCACAGTCATGCCCACAAACACACTGAGAGCATTTCTATGAACAGGAAACTCTGATCCCTCAGCCCGCCAGACAGTCTGGCTCTGAAGAAGATTCATTACTTAATACGCACTAACTGTGCAAAAGAGGCAAACACAGCCAAAAGCAACAGAACGAGAAACAACCAGAATAAGAGAAGGAAAAGCTGAAAGCAGGGGTTTCTGGAAGCGCTCACTCTCTCTCAAAGAATTGCTAAGTCTTTTCTGTGTTCTATTGTGTGAATTGTGCTCCTCCTGGCCAAAGGGCAAGCACTCCTCCAGAGTATTAAAGGGAGGAGAAATGGAGAGCCACTGTCTTCAGCGGCAGGGTGAGACTCGAACAGTGATTTCCTCTTAAGCCGCAATCAAACTGGAAGAGAACTGGAAAAAGCTACCCAAAAAACAGGACACAGAAGTGCATTGTGACCTCTCTAACTCCTCAGCTCTTCATTCTGGGCCCTGATGGAGTAAAATACTTGTTCTTTATTCATTTCTTTCATTTATCAGTGTTCCAACTGTCACCGTCTTGTGTCTCAGTCACTTCACCTTGACAGTGATAATTCTCGCTCTGACAGAGAAATGGCTCCATTGACTACATTCTGAGTGAACATCGTTCCTTTAGTCAATCATTGCAGAAACACAAGTTAGTCTCAGACTCTTAAACACGCCCTATGGATAATTCGCAGAATATTTGATATTTACTGCACAACAAAGTGGCAAGAGGTTTCTGAAAAATCTAAAACTAATTGGCTGGCTGATCTGATTTCAACGACTCAACCTCAGTGCTCTAATATACAAATATGTGTTTACAAACTTATTATATATTCCTCAAAAAAAAAAAAAAAAAAATCAAAAAAGACAAATACAACCTTTTTCATAGCGAAAAGCAAGTCTATTAAGATGTTTGATTTGATTTGATTTATTCAACAATGATCTTAAAAAAATACAATCATGCCAAAGGCAATTCATACACATTTCAAGACAAATTGTCGAGGATAAAATACACAAAAAAGCCTCAGGCTTATTTCCATTGTGGTCCTCTATATGCATAAAATGGACAAACAGTTCGAGTGGGAATAAAATCAAAAACAAACATCTCACACCTTAATAAATTCATATGGGATCTTAATTGGAAAGCCATTAGTTAACTTCTGTTTTGCACTGTAACATTATTTTTATGACAATTAAGCACTGTTCTCCAAATTCTCATTAGTTTTATGTTTCCCCCTCATTATTCTGACTGATGATTCTCATTAGATTCGTATTAATTTAAAACAATTTATTTTACTGGATTATAGTAACAAATCACAGTAATAAATGTATAGTATATGAATCAGAATTCATTCAACACAGTACAACACACATTACCATTGCAATAATAATTACAATAATACATATTTACATTATACACACACACACATACATATATATGTATAATGTAAATATGTATTAAGTACACATACTGATTGCAGTAATACAACATTTTTGGAGAAATATGCTTAAAGGGATACTCCACCGTTTTTTCATATTAAACTATGTTATTCTCTTATCTAAGACAAGTTGATACATACCTCTCTCGTCTCAGTGCGTGCACTGAATCGCTCTGTCGGGCGGAGAACTTTGAGAGCAGTTAGCTTAGCCCCATTCATTGTATATGGGCCAAACAGAGATGAAGTTAGAAGCGACCAAACACATCCACGTCTTCTCTATTTAAATATAGTTACACAAGTAGTTACACGACCAAGTATGGTGACACTAAATAAAATGTGGCGCTTTTTATAAGCCGGTAAAATGGATAACTATAATGTATGGCGGAATAGCACTTATTGGGAGCACTTCGACTCGGCGCTGTAATATCTTCACTCGTGAAAAGTCCTCTCCCCCCTCTCCCTCTCCCTGTCATTTCCATCAATAGAACCAACGTGACCTGCACGCCTGCAGTAGTATTTTTTTGTGCAGAGTTGACGAAGTATCAGGGAGAGGGAGAGGGGGGAGAGGACTTTTCACGAGTGAAGATATTACAGCGCCGAGTCGAAGTGCTCCCAATAAGTGCTATTCCGCCATACATTATAGTTATCCATTTTACCCGCTTATAAAAAGCGCCACATTTTATTTAGTGTCACCATACTTGGTCGTGTAACTATATTTAAATAGAGAAAACGTGGATGTGTTTGGTCGCTTCTAACTTCATCTCTGTTTGGCCCATATACAATGAATGGGGCTAAGCTAACTGCTCTCAAAGTTCTCCGCCCGACAGAGCGATTCAGTGCACGCACTGAGACGAGAGAGGTATGTATCAACTCGTCTTAGATAAGAGAATAACATAGTTTAATATGAAAAAACGGTGGAGTATCCCTTTAACTGTCATGAATATAGTGTCACAGAAAAAAAGGTGTTTAACTTATAAAATGTAAAAGCTCTAAGCTTTTAAGCATTAAGCAAGCAGTACTCACTTGAGTGTTTCAGCCAAGTAGAAGCTCTGCTGCACGTCATCATGGTTAGGAGTGCTGGCGTAGACGTCTCTTACTCCGCTGTAACCCCCTTCCAACCTGCAGTACTTCTCCAGAGCCTGAGATACAGAGATATAAATGCACCTGTCAGTATCAATGTAATTCCTAGCAACTGCATGTACCTTTGATTTTCAGAGACAGTACACCGATGCAAAGGTGTTTACTGGCTCCATTCAAAAGATCCAAAGTCTATATGACAGGGCTTGGCAATTCTGGCCACTTTTCTGCAGAGTTTAGCTCTGACCCTGACCCTGATCAAACTCATCTGCCTCCCCGCTTTATAATATGCTGGTCTCTAGATATATATCTGGGGCTGCTCCTTCAGTGTAAGTCTATGGGAGATTCAGCCTGTTTTATTGACAGTCAGGCATAAATAGTAGTTCCAATCACTCAGAAAAGTAATAGTGCAGCATAGTTTACCTCAAGGAGCCACATGATTTACAACAGAAAAAAAAAAAAAAACTGTGTGGAACAATTTATGTGCCAAAGTTTAATACTCAGGATTTAGGTGTTTGTTTGAATTACTTTTATTCAGCAAAGATGCATTCATTCAATTGATCAAATGTGACAGTAAAGACTTCACAAATCATCATGTCTATGGTAAGTCCCCATAAAACATGTGCATGTGTTTAGTGATATTTTTTTTTTTTTTTTTTTTTTTACATATGTGAATAAAGTTTAAAACCATTGAAATCTATTTTTTTTTTATCAATAAACATCAAAGTTAAATTGACAAAATATATTTTATTCATTTAAAATTATCCACTTTTCATGCTAGAAACCTCATATAACAGTTTATCCATCAGTAATGGGATGTCTCTGTAATGGGAAAGCAAATTGTGCCCTATTTGTGAAAAGTGCCATAATAACAATCAAATTATTGGCGTTGTGGCGGTGTAAAGATTGTGTAAAAGAACATTTTAAGATAATGAAGATTTTACAAAGCAGTTTTTGAAGGAAAGAAAGAATCAAGCCTTTCATTCCATAAGAGTTGAGCCAGCACATTTTTACTGAGAGGAGAATAGATGGCAGAGGGAGAGCGAGGGAGGAAGAGATGTGATGTATCGCCTAAAGGGACAGACAAATCACAATGGCAATCTGAAGTCATTATGATACAATTACAAGGCTGTGAGATCCTGGCGGTCTCCATTGTCTCTAATCCTGCTATGCTGAAGTGCAGGGAGCGTCTGAGGGCAGTGATAAAGCTTCACTGTGACTCACAGTCTGGCCTACATCCCAGTTTAACCAGTCACATACTGGTGACATTACATAATAAGTGATGTGTCAAATCCACATGACAGAGTTCTCACCTGTACCGCCTCCCAGCCCCACTGTCTGTACTTGGGGTCGTGGGTGAACCTCCACATGTACATGTACGTTTCGATGACCTCCGGCCTCAGGATGAAGTACTTCTCATTTTGCCGTGTGGCGATGGCCTCCACGCCGCCGTCGAAACGGAACGCCTCGGGACCCAGCTTCATACCTGAAACATGCATGCCGACAAATTCATCGCTCAAACGTCCATGTAGACAAGGGATTATGGGATTACATTGTTCCTGAGATGAAGAGAAACACTATCAGGATGTGGATTAGGGGCTGTGGCTTAATCTGGACCTTTGTTAATCTGCGTCAGATAAAAATACCTACGCATTATGAATACGTAGGTGAAGACTGTGACTGTGTATGTTTACGTTCATGTGTATGTGCATAAACGTATAATTTAAATATTTACTTAAAGGGATGGTTCAAAGTAAATTCAACCTAGGGTCCTTTGCACCAGGACCTCGAGCCAAGCACCCCCCCAGAAGCCATTTTTCCCTTGGTCAAACATTATTAAAGTTAGAGCTTATTTGGAGATATCAGCCGAATGGCTTAGTGCAGGCGCTAATGGATCCAAGCTTGTATTTAGTAAATTACCCCACTAATAATGCCCGGAATGGTACCAAACTTCTACAGTAGTACAAATAGGTTCTGTACTCATAAAACGAGGCATTGGAAAGTTTATTTAAATAACACTTGCCTGATGGCTTGTGCTACCGCTAACTCGGACGTCGAGGTCACTTCTGTGATTTGGGAAAAGCCCGTAAAAGTCCTTTGCAAAACTCACAAGTATAAGGGAAAAGCTAGTGAATTTATTTTAGTTTTTCCAAAGTGTTGACAACTTAGTGTTAACTAATAATTGTTACAACTCGTACTACCAACAAAATATTAGTGCATTCCTGGAACTGTGCGTCGTTACATTACATCCTTATGCATCGCTTTCTGCCAGGACTTTTACAGGCTTTTCCCAAATCACGGAAGTGACCTCGACGTCCGAGTTAGCCATAGCACAAGCCATCTTGCAAGTGTTATTTAAACTCCTGATGTACTTACAAACTTTCAATGCCTCGGTTTATGAGTACAGAACCTATTTGTACTACTATAGAAGTTTGGTACCATTCCGGGCATTATTAGTGGGGTAATTTACGAGATACAAACTTGAATCCATTAGCGCCTGCACTAAGCCATTCGGCGGATATCTCCAATTATAAAACGGTTAGTTCCAATCCTTGATTCTGATTGGTCAATAGCTGTGCTTTATTCACGATAAAACACGGCTATGACCGCTTCACCCAACGGTTCTATGTATCACTACACAACACCCCTAGCAACCACTCTTAGCAACTTAAACAGATGTTTCATCTCATTGATATTGTTCATTTAAAGCTAGAGCAGAGCATTGTGAGAGATCGAGTAAGCGAGTGTACCTGCATTTACAGTAGACGTAGCATTTTCCTTCAGGTCAGTCCTATATTCATAATAAAAAAATGCGTTTGAATGTCCGCTGCATATTTTGTCCTTTTAACAGTCATGGGGTTTTCCGTGCATAACGTTAGTCATCTGTCAGTTGCGTCTGTCTTCTCCGTGATCACAAGTTCGAGTCCTTTCAAAAGCCTTCTCTACAGACTCACTCACTCACTCACTCATAAAGACAGTCTTTGCCGCCATCTATTGGCGAAATAATATATGTAACTTCTGTTGCTGTTCACGTTCCGGGACTATTTTTTCCAGCGGAAGGCAGGCTTTTAGTGATTTTACTTCATGAAAGTTGCATAGATACATATTTTTCGGCTTTAATATTTTTATTGTGTGGCAACCGTTTTATAAAAGCAATAAGGTACTCGAGGCAAGTGCTGTATCGTGAATAAGTAACGGCTGAAGGGGTTGCAGGCACTCCGCTTCGCGTCGTGCCTAACAACGCCCTCCAGCCGTTACTTATTCACGATACAGCACAGCCTCTCGTACCTTATTGCTTACATAAGCTCTAACTTCAATAATGTTCGACCAAGGTAAAAATGGCTTCTGGGGGGGGGGGGGGGGGGGGGGGGGGAGGGGGCATGTTTGGCTCAAGGTCATGGTGCAAAGGACCCTAGGTTGAATTTACTTACTATTACCGTAGTTTAAATAAGTAAATAAATCAATAATTCTCATTACCGTAATTACCATTTTACCTTTGAGTACTTTTGGTTTACTGTTATACAGTAATTTGAATAATAAAAAAAAGAATAATAAAAGTAAATAATAAAGATAATATAACAAAAATACTTTACTACAACAATAATTTATTCACAATAACAAAAAAAAATTAATTATTTTTTTGCAATCATAATTGGTAGGCAAGAAAAATAAGCTTACTTTTCTTTACACAAAACATTATTTCTTATTTCAGGGTGTCTGCACTTGCACTGCACTATTCTAACTATAACTAGAAAATGTCTGTATAATCAAGCATCTTTTTTTTGCTGGAAATGTTTAATATTCGTTGTTTCAGCATTTTCAAAGCAGTTCTGTCACTCACTTGTTCGGGTGTAAGACTCGTGACACGTGCGGGCGATCTCAGCCGCGAGCTCCATCTGGTGTCCCGTCTTATCATCGGGGGCTCCGTCTGCTCCTAAAGCAATCATACCACCGGCGAAGCAGGTCAGGTGACCCATCTTATGCTCCAGGAGTCCGCCTTTCCATTCTGCGATATACGTCAACCCTCCGCTTGACTTCCGGATCAGATTCTTTTCAATCGCCTGAATACAGAACAGAAAACGAAAAGTAGGTGTCACTTTAAGTTGTTTTCAATGCCAATTTCTTCACTCTGTGGGTTAAAATGAACTTTGTCCTCATTTGTATTAGGCAAATAAAACAAAAGCAAACAAGGGCATTCAAGGCCTCGGTGTGATTTCTCTCAAAAGCGTCCTAAGAACAGTTCAAGGTCCAGAGTAAGGAAGATCATAGCAGAAATCAGGGTCACAGCTGTGTGCCAGCGATGTGTATTTACAGAAGCGTCACACACATGGGAAATGAGATTATTATCTGTCTGGAAAAGGGCTCCGGTGCATTTGAATGGAAAACTGGAGACTTGATCATCATGGCACCAAAGGCACGCAAGGAAATAAGTAAAGCATCTGACTCTCTCTTTTTCTTACATCACACCCTTTGTAATATTATTTCATCATAAATATGGCATCAGTGTTGTGGAGAAACTGAAAGTTAGTAACAGTACTAGCTTACATTTTTTTTTTTTTGTATGTTGAATAATGTATTGTAGCTGTTCATGTAATGATAGCATTTTTGTCAACAAGATTTTTTTTTGTCTAATTGAATTAAAGAGTAAGATGAGTAATTAATCAAAAAAAAAAATTCTATAGCATGAGAATGCTGGATTCAAGTGTTCGATTTTGGATCTTGCATCACCCTAAAGGATATATACTACGATAATGAATGGCAGTTTATTATCCTGTGTATCACTGCTGTGCTAATTAAATGCATAGATGGACATTAACTATTCATTAAATAAATCAAATATAAAAATAAATCAAAAATAAATATTGATGTGAGTTCAAATTATTTTATTATCCAAAAGAAAAAGAGTGCGGATTGATGCATGAAATCGCAGTAGACCACAGTAACTACTCTCCTGCCACAACACATGGAGAAATAAATCACATTCTGTACTGTGAGATGTGCTTGTCAAACCTAAACCATAACAAATTTAATAATATTTATAAAATGTATCTTCTTTCACATGACATTGAGGATTGGCAGACAGGGGTCCAGCACTTTTCAGAATCATAGTAACTTTAAAAATGTAGAAAAATTGTGTATGAAACCAGTTGCCTGAATGCCACAAGTGAGCAGGATCAAGAACAGTTGTAATAGAAATGATGCAACCCACATTGCAAATCAGGTTTATCTGCTAAATTTACAGACTTTCACTTGTTTACAATGAACAAATCAAACAAAAGTAATTGAAATGGCTCAACACCACAAAATGTTGAAAAAGTGGTTTCCCCAAATTCAACTTTTAATGACTTCTGCAGTCTCAAAATGATTCAACCCCTTCATGGCAAGCATATTTAGTACAGTGGAACACTCTTTTGCTGTTATGACCTGCTACAAACGAGATGTATAACCAGACACTAGATTCTGGCAGCGTTTCTGAGGAATCTTAGTCCATTCCTCATGAGCAATGGCCTCGAGTTCAGTAATATTCTTGGGTTTGCGTGCTGCAACCGCCTTCTTCAAATCTCACCAGAGATGTTCTATGGGGTTCAAGTCAGGTGACTGTGATGGCCACTGTAGAATCTTTCAGGAGTTCTTCTGCAACCAAGCCTTGGTGGAATTTGAAGTGTGCTTGGGATCATTGTCCTGTCTGAAGGTCCAATGATACCCAAACGTCAGCTTCTTCACTGACGGTATGATGTTTTCTCCTAGGATTTCCTGATATTTAAATCAATCCATGTTGCCTTCCACACGCTGCAGGTTTCCAGTGCCAGAATATGCAAAGCAGCCCCAGAGCATCACCGAGCCAGCATCATGCTTAACTGTTGGCAGAGTGTTCTTTTCAGCATATGCTTCATTCTGCTTCCTCCAGACATACTGCTGATCCATAGGGCCGAAAAGTTTCAGTTTTGTTTCATCGCTAGACAGAACAGAATCCCCAAACTTCTGTGGCTTATTTATATGATTTTGAGAGACTTTTCTTGTGCTTTTGGGTGAGTAGTAGTGTACATCTTGGAGTTCTGGCATGGAAACCACATGCGTTTAGTACATGCCTTACTGTGCAAGCTGAAAGCTCAGTGCCTGTTGCCACCAAGTCTTGCTGCAGGTCTTTTAGCAGTCACTCTAGGGCTTTTCTAAACCTGCCTTCTCAGAAATCTGGCTGCAGCCATTGATAGCTTCCTTTTTCTGCCCAGTCCAGGTAGTGCAACCACAGTTCCTTTATATTTGAACTTGCGAACTATGCTTCCAACGGTGTCTCTAGGAACATTTAGCGCCTTCGCTATCTTTTTGTATCCTGTTCCTTGTTTGTGAAGGGCGACGATTTCTTCTCTCAACTTTTTGGACCATTCTTTTGACTTATCTTTTGAGCCATATTTCTAACATGCAGTCAAATGTGACACTCAACAAACACTAGCCAGTTCAGGTATTTCATGTGTTCTAGCTCAAGCACACCTGATGCAACTAATGAAGCCCTTGATTAGTTGCATCAGGTGTGCTGAAGACAACACCCATTTTGCAGTTTTGTGTTGTTGTTGTGAGGAATTATATTCAGGGGTTGAATAATTTTGAGACAGCAGAAGTCATTAAAAACTGCATTTTCAGTTGAATTTGGGGAAACCACTTTTTCAACATTTGTTGTGTTGAGCTATTTCAATTACTTTTGTTTGATTTGTTCATTTCAAACAGCTGAAAGTCTGTAAATTTTGCCAATAAACCTGATTTGCAATTGGAGTTGAATAATTTCAATTACAACCGTATTCCAATGACACTAGTTCGTAGCTTGGAATGCTAGTTGTAAAGTAGCTCCCCAACACTGTTAGGCACAAAAATGAAGACTTCAACATTTAGCACAGCTTGAACAACAGGAACTCAATCTACTGCGATACGTCAACAGTCATTGCCGTAATGTGCTTATTTTTCCCAATGGTGCAAATAACTGAATGCTACAGCTGAGAGATGTGGATGAAAGGAGATGATTGAGCACCCTATCCATGGTTAGTGAGATAAATTAGCTGAAATCAGGCTGTATAAAGAGAGTTAAAGACCTGATAAAGAGCTTTATATAGTGGTAATGAATGCCTGGGTAAAATGGTGGACACAATGGCAATTTTATAAGCCCTCTCTGAAGGTGACCGAAATAATGCACTTTTCTTTTCTTGGATGATTGGCCTGGAGTCCAAAGTGTGTGTGTGTGTGTGTGTGTGTGTGTGTGTGTGTGTGTGTGTGTGTGTTTGAGTCACTCCAGGGAGGCACCCAGACAGACGGCCAGAGGGACAACATTATCTCAGGCAGGTTGAGATGGTCCTCTCTCTAATGAAAGTGAGGATTGAGTTTGTGGTCTGTAACAATCAGTCTGCACCAGCTTTCCAAAGCTCTCACGGACAGCTTCAGCAGAACGCTGGTGGCAGCTTACACACACGCACGCACGCACACACACACACACATGCACGCAGACACACATGCACGCAGACACACATGCACGCACACACATGCACGCACACACATGCACGCACACACACGAACACTGAAGAGGAATTCCAACACCTGAAAACCTGCAGAGGACAAATTTCTAGATGTTCAAGCTAAGAGTAATAAAAAAACAAACATTTGCAATGCAGATTCTTTCCTGGAAAAACTGGACATGGAAACTTGAGGGGAAACATTCAACAATCCAGAACTAGCACTAAAACTTTAGTCTGACTAGATTAAATTTAATTTGTTAATGACAATTGGGCCTTAAGAATAGAAATTTTAGTTTTTAGTTTTTGTTTTATTGAAGTGTATCTGGATCGCTCTACCAAAAAATAAATAAAAAAATGAGACATGGGAATTGAATTGGAATTGAACAAGCGAACATGCAGAACTGAATTTAAGGACATACAGTATACATAAAATGAAAGCCTTGTAGTTTTAAATTATACTTTTACATTTTTTAAATTTATGAATTTCCCATAAACGGAAATATTCTGAAATATTTTCATTATATTTAATAAATTACCTTTCATTTTATGAACCACAGTGGAAGAACAGTTAGTTTCATAGAATGCACTACCCATTTAAAATAGAGCAAACCTAAATAAATAAAAAATAATAATGTGGGAAAATTTAGCTGATAGTTCAGGTGAAAATCAGTGATAGTGTTAATTTTTTGACAGTTTTGGACTCGGTTAAAACTGTTTAACCTAAACAAATGTATTTGTAAATGTATTACAGGAATAATTAGCCAAAATGAATTACGTAACTATGTTTTATTGCATACTTGTATTGGAATAAATAACTTTGAATTTTGTTCAACCCTGGCATCAACTAAAACCACAATTGCTTTCTAATTTAAGTACAAATTTTACAATTTTGTTTCCTCACTATTTTGCTGACACAAATCCCTTGAAGGCATCATCCAAGAAACATGGATGTCTAGTCAGCAGCGCTCTGGCCATTTAATTAAATCAGCAGTAGAATGTAACATTTCTCTGGTCTTTTTCTCTCTGTAAAAAATGGACTTTACCTGCAGGGCATCGTAGTAGAGCTTCTTTCCCTCCTCGTCACTTTTGTCTGACATGAGCCAGGCCTTCAGCAGGTACTCGTAGAAACTGTCCCCCAAGCCTCCAACTGAGACGTGATCTGTAACACAGCGAAAATGCCAGAGAGTAAGTGAAAAATCCCTTCCATTCATCTATAGTCTGCTGTGGGACTGCATTAAATAGAATTGCACAAAATATTAGACATGAATATGTGCGCACACAGAAACTTTCACACAGTACGAGAGAGCAAGAGAAGCGCTCTTATCTCAGTAAGTTTGTATGGTAAAACATGTTTGGAATTACACAAATATCAAGATAAAGTGAACCTGGAGTACTTCACAATTCACAATGCATGTTAAAATCGTAGTAGTAATCGTAGTACATGCTTAATGCCATGACAAAAACATGCATACTGTATAAACAACATACCAGAATGAATAAAAGGTTACAAACAACAAATGATCTTCATACAGAAAATAAAATTCATATTTTACTACTGTGATAAAAAAAATTCTAAAAGGTCTTTCTGATAATTATAATACTGTATAATTATAATTATGATATTTGGAATAGTTATAAATTTCCATCTGAGCAGCAGTAATAATTTGTTTAGGATTATTTTTATTATTTTGAATATTAAAAGGTAAAATCAGATGTTTTATCAGACTTTTTATTTTTACATTTATATACCCACGTATGACAGAAGGCCATGTGACAGAAAAGATACGGTATGGGGGTCAGGGTTTTCTTAAAGTCTGAACCATTTTCATATTTTGTTAAGTAGGCCTTCCTACTAAAAACAAACAATGTACATAATAATCAAAACACTCATAACGAACAGAAAACAAAGTCAACCAGTATTTTTTTGTCGTCTTCCCATTTATAACATTGTTTATTATGACATGCTCTTAACATGCCTATTAATAACACTAAATGTAGATAGAAAAAAAATTGTCAGTCATGTATGACAGATATAAAATATATTTTTGTATTTGCTGCATTCTCGTTTTCTGCAGTGTTTAGCAAAAGTATCAACTTATTTTGCTGCTCACTGTGTTTTTGCTACTGTAGTTAAAATAACTACATTATCTGCGGCTCTTCATGTGGCGCTTTAGCGGGAGAGAGAAGCAACTTGCACGGAATGGAAAGGCCTTTAATGAAGAACGTTTTGCTCTAGATATAAATATGAGAGGATATTTAGCACCAAAAAGATCATTATCATAAACAACCCTGAGGGCTTGTGGTGTGAACCGCTCCATTGTTTTGATGGTGCTACCGGGTTCATTATGTCTCGTGGTCCGGTTGGAACCAAGCCAGGGTCCAGAATCAGATCACAGTCCGCTATTTGAGGACCCCTGACCAAGAACATCCTAGCAACCATTTAGAAAACCATAGAAACCACTTAGAACACCATAGAAACTATTTAGAAAAGCCTATCAACCACTTGGAACACCCTAGCAACCATTTAGAAAAGCCGATCAACCACTTAGAACACCGCAGCAACCATTTAGAAAAGCCTATCAACCACTTAGAACACCGCAGCAACCATTTAGAAAAGCCTAGCAACCACTTAGAACACCGCAGCAACCATTTAGAAAAGCCTAGCAACCACTTAGAACACCGCAGCAACCATTTAGAAAAGCCTAGCAACCACTTAGAACACCCTAAAAACCATTTAGAAAAGCCTAGCAACCACCTAGAACACTGTAATTGATAATCGGATTCATTCACACAAAAGTTTCTCAATTCATTTCAAGTCACATTTCCTTTTTAATTATTATGAAGCAATGCATCACTATGCAAATACTGTCATCACTGAGTGGCCCAAAGTGACAGACCGTTTACAGCATACTCAAATGTGTGAATTCCATTTAGTAGCCAAAAAAATTAATAAAAACATACCATTCAAGCAAAACGGACTGATGCATCCAATTAGCACGAGATAGGGCTATTACTGATTTTACAGATGAATTGTTGTCAAATTTTCTTGAATATTAAGTATTGATTTGTGAAGGTTTAAGACATTTGAAGATGAGACATTAGCATAAATTTATGAAATTGTATACTCTTTAGAAGTATTAATTCATTTGAATAAAATTAATATAGTAACTGAAATATATCTACATTATTTTGGGAAATGAAAAGGGTCTGACCAACACTTCTGATATAAATTAAAATGGATATAAATATGAGGCTGATGTAGCACATGTAGCTGTAATTGCTGGTTATTGCACATTTTAAAACCATAAGTATCGGCTATTAGCGGGTCATTTTTATTCACTGGCCCCTGGTGCACATTTTGGCCCATGAGCAGCATAATTTGAATATCCCTGAGGAAGATTAAAAAAAAACCTAATTGAGAAATTCAGCTGAGTACAAGTGCCATAAAAACCCCTTAGACATTTGAAATAAGACTTTAAACTAAAGCAAAATCCTTGTTTTTCCCTTCCTGTGCATTCCTCAGCAGTGTATTTTTTACATCTGTGCGCTGTGGCTCCATTTCTCTTGACGTATCTATCACACAAACAAGTGCTTAATGAGGTATAAATATTCATGAGCTTGATCATCAATCAGACAATCACACAACAGTGCTGCTCCTCGACCCACAGACTCTCATCTCTCACACACAGTGGACTGGACAGCACTGAACGGACTCACCCTGCCACCTGGAAACACACACACATTTATTTCCTCCTTACGCACACAGACCTGACTTATCTAGGATTTCGCTTGATAGAAAAGCATGCACTGCGGAATATATTAAAAATGAATGCTTAAATTGAATCTTATTAGTTAAAGATCTGGGCTTATAACTCAAAATTGGTAGGTTCAGTTATGAATTGAAAAGGTACTAAAATTTCATTTAAATCATTTGTGCCCACTTTCAAGGCATTTGCTAAACTAGATTTTTACACCTTCTGTAGAAAAAGTGAATGATTGATTTGGAAAGTTTGGGGTCAGTAAGATTTTTTTTATGTGTCTTATGTTCACCAAGGCTGAAACAATGTTTCAATGTTACAATGTTACATTTTGTAACAATGTAAATGTCTTTGCTATATTGTTATTTAATGCATCCTTGCAGAATAAAAGTATTAATTTCTATATAAAAACATACATTATTTGTCTGAGTGTAGACAAGAGCCGTGTCTCTCGAAGTGCTTCATTTATTTGAATGGGAGAGGTTGTTTCCTTCTCTTGCAGTGCAGGCACAGAAGCAGGTATTGAATTCTCAAAAGAAAGTCTTTAAAAGATTTTAGCGGGAGGTCATTGATACTCGTGGCAGACTGGATTTGCCCGCGGGCCCGATTTTGAACAGCTCTGCGCTACCTGATTTAACTTCTTAGTCACAGAAGATGGCTTTTCCCCACTGTTGTAATATTAGTTCACACACAGATCTCATAGAAACTCCAAACTCTTCTGCGCTGTTGGTAAGAGGGTTTGGATGTGAAAAGGAGATGTGAGGTCTTCTGTTGGTAAAAGCTTGACAGCTGGAAACGGGGGTTTTTATGTCAGCTCTTGACGTGCTTCCTGAGCAAAACCTGAAGACCAGCTGAGCTTATTACCCAACAGACACTGAGAACGTGTGAAGTCTCTCTGTACAGCACTGAAGCACACAGAGCAGCCCTGAAACAGACCATATACAATATACACACGTTTTGTTCTTAGCCACAACCCTTACTGAAAGCAAAATGTGAAACGACAAAATTACAAAATGTATTTTGTGTTTCAAAGCATGACATGAGGGTGAATGAACGATTGTAATTATAAAAAAAATTTAGGGCACCAAAAAATGTGAAATTCTGCGAATATTTTGTTCCAAACCGGAATGACTTTTACTTCTGTGGAACTCAAAATAATTGGAAGGATGTCAATGTGATTCAAAACACTGGATACCACTGTCTTTCATTGTATGGATTTTTCACACGCACACACACAGTCATACAGATTTAGAAAAAAACCAAGGGTCAGTAAATTACATTCTTTAGAGTAAATTAAGTCATTATAATAAATTCTGATAAATACTTAGAATTAGAATTAAAATATAAAAAAAAATATTAATAAAATGTTAATATTTCATTTACTAATTGTAGCAATTATATCCATTTTAAAATGTACAAATATTATTTCAATAAATGTTTTTGTAAATATTTAGAATTAGAATAAATAATAAGACTAAATTCTTGATAATAATAATAATAATAATAATAAAAAGAGTGCTACAATTCAGTCTCCTATGAGGTTTTATTCCGTTGGCATGTCCCCTTAGAAAACAGCTTACTATGTTTTGGAACTTTTGTCAAGTTGCACATATGAAGCTAAACTGGAAGAGACAAACTGATTTGAAACATTGAGAATTCCTGACCATGTAAAACTAAGTTAAATGCACAAGTATGAGGAAAAAAAGAGGAAGGGTAAAAGGAGGGTAGATGGTGGACTATATATGAAAGTTGTTTCATTACGGTCAACCCCGGAGCTACTAGCTGCTCAAACCCAAACATGACAACTGACCCATATGGAAAGCCCTTCAGGACTGTTCTGGGCTACTTGTGAGAAATAAAAAGACTGACAGCTATTTTTAAACGTAGCTGTACGTTATCATCCCATCTTCCCTGCGGCCTGCTGCCATCTCAGATCATTTTTGTTTATGATCATCTAACAAATGACTTTTGTCGAAGCGAAAAAAAGAAGGACTTGTTCTGATGCACAAAAAAGAAACCTTGTTTCGGATTGCTACATTCTGACAGCTCAAAAGCCTCTCCCTTTTATTTTTTCCGCTCAGTGGCGACGTTCCTCCATCAGAATTTGTGCTCCTGTGTTATCCTTACTACACACACTGCAGTATCTTTGTTCTCCTTCGGCTCTTCATCATCAAGCGCCTGCGTCATCGCTGACCATGAAGTTGAGACAGCACTGCTCTCCAGACTAAGCCGCCAATAAATCCCTCAGAGCGAGGACGGCACGAAAGCCGCCTAACACCGCAGAGCAGGCCTCGCTGAAGCCGTCGTTTCGGTTGCCTCGAGACCAGCATAAAACAGCCCAAACTATTGATGTACGTGTCATCTAGAGGATGAATGCAAGGATAGGAGTGTGTATATTTATGTCTGTGTTGCATAATTAACCCTGAAAGCACGATGAAGATGAGATGTGGTGAGAGAGTCGTGCCACTTCTCCACAGTTTCAGGGTTGCCAGACTCAGCCTCAAACGGCATTGAAACGTCTGAACCAGATTACACCCAAAAATGTCAAAAGCGGCCTGAAATCGACAGTTCCAAACAGAAACGCAAATCGGTCTGCTGGCAAGCAAAGTCATGTTTAAAAGTTCCCAGGCTCCTACAAGAACAACTTGTCACTGGTTTTGCCAAAGTTTGAGCGGTTCATGGTTTCAAAGTTTTGAAAGAAATTCATGAGTTCCAGTTGAGAAACTCAGTAGCTAGAAAATAATATCCTGCTTTGCCCTCAGGGATTTTGCCACCAGATTTACACAACCTATGTCAAACACAAACTGTGGTTGGTTATTTTAGATGTACTGCAGGTCATTTTTGTCTATACAGGAGATTGTGGCCAGAATAACCTGCAATATGGAATGGACTTTATGCAGATAATCTAAATTCGGGCAAAAAGCAGACAGCAGGAATTAGCTGTCTGATGTAAACAAATGTAAAAATATAAATAATCATCTATATTAAATTATCTAAAATTGCATAATAATCTAAAATAAAGTCAAATAATCTAAAAAAAAAAAGAAAAAAAAGATATATATATGAAACCGATTTTTTAAAATAATTCAGATTAAGCATTTTAATTAAACTGCAGCAAATAACACTTTGTTATTTTGTTTAGTTGTCTGTTCAGAATCGCAGGAGAATTGTGATCTCTATTTGAAAAAACAAAAAAAATTGTGATTCTCAATTTATCCAGAATTGTGCAGCTATATGTAGTCAAAACTCTGTCTGCAAGAGACAGACAGCTATCTAAGGGTGGGCGATATGACCAAAATCTTTTATCAAGATACAATTAATTCTATTTCAATAGAACAAAGACACAAATGAAATAGACCTAACAGAAATCTTCAAGCACTTGATAGGCCTATTGAAATAGGCTACTACATTAATTCTATAAAGTAATCAAATGTACAAAAACACTTTCAGTGTAAATTAAACACACTTATTCTCATGAAAGTTACATGTTATTGAGTCAAGAACAATAGGATTGTTAATGACGAATGCACTGATCTAATATACTGATACACATGATTTCTTTCTGTTTACGTTCACGTATGACATAAACAACTGCGTTTATGAGGATACTCGCAAGGGCATTTTGAAAGTGTGTGTATTTGACCGTTTAAGCCCAATAAGGTGCTAAAAAGTACTTTGCTCCGTACTCACGCGCTCTATGAGCAGTGGCTTTATGTGCGCTTTGCAGACGTGTGTGCTTGGAAACTGTATTTCAGAGAGCGCACATATACCAAAATTAGTTTGCCTTCGCTGCTTATTGTGCTTGAACGGTTTAAAATCACTTATTTTTAAACCACAAGGCTTAAAGGTGACATATTATGCCCCTTTTCACAAGTTGTAATATAAATCTATGGTGTCCCCAGAATTTGTCTGAAATTTCAGCTCAAAATACCTTCCAGGTGCCCTTTTTGTGAGTATCCCTTTAAATGCAAATGAGCTGCTGCTCCCCGCCTCCGTTCAGAAGAGAGCTGATCCTTTACACGAGCTTCGGATTCTCCGACAATAACAAAACACGTGAATTTCAGTAAAATCCCAGAAATAACCAGAAGCGCAGTAAGTGCAGCCTTACGGAGTGACTCAGGAAGAGGTTGCAACTTTTAGACGCACCTGGACGTTTCTGAATGGTTAGTTCAGTGTTCTGTGCTCGTCTGTGTAGCCAACGACAGAACAGTTCGCATGCTTTGCTCGAACTTTTGCCATTGCATTAGAACCGGTTACACCGTTGTCGCTTGCAAAACCAAATGGCGGCGCCGTGGGTGGAAACCATAAACGGTGGAAACGTGCAGATTAAAGGGACACTTCACCCATTTGCATTAAGCTTTCCATTGTTAGAAACCCAGTCATACTATTGAATGGTCGTGCAACACTCATTTTCCCCTGAGACGAGAGAAATCCGCTATTTACCTTTTTCACTTCTTCCTACAATGACGCAAAAATCGTCATTTTACGTCATTGTAGGAGGAAGTGTTAGAGGGGGGGATTTCTGTAAAGACTACAAGCACTAGATCCCACCCTTTCAAACCCGCCCATAGGGGGTTGGACCTAATGCGCTAACAGAGCTATCACAGATCAGTGGGTGGGACTTCACTTGTAGATACTGAAATTCATATCAGCCATCTTGTTTATAAGCTAAGCTAACAAGCGCTGTGGAGATAAGAAGTTATGACAATGACGGAAGAAACTAAACATGATATGGAAGAAACTAAACATGATATGGAAGAAACTAAACATGATATGGAAGTAGAGAATTTTTAAATTCTGCTGCTCGAATCCGCTGTTTGTGGCTATCTTTACAAGCCGCAATATAGTGAAGAGCAGCTGAGGCTGATGGAGGAACAGGAGACGGCTGCCTGTCGCGGACGAGGAGCCCGGGCTGGCTCGAGCTGGGCGGACTGCTGGTGCCTGTGCTCTCGCTGTGCTTTGCGGACACAGATAGAGTCCGTCTGCTGCAGAGCATTTCAACGATAGCAATTTCTCCTGGAGGAAATCTCTGAATCAGAGGAGCACACGGACGTTTGTGTTGTGATGTGAACCATCCTAGTGTCGCACCGCATATGTTCTGACTGAACCAGGTATCATGCAATAATTCACCATATAGAAAGAAATACAAAGGAGGAGTAATTCGCTAATGAGTTTGCCAATGTAACGAGGTTCGTTGTTGTGGGAAGGAGGAGGCGGGAACCGGCGAATATTTAAACATTTTAATAGTAAAATAAACGCATACAAAACAAAAGTATGAGCCAGCTGGCCACACACAACAGAAATGAAACATAAAACCAGGCCTGTTCCTTTTGTGCTTCCGCTCCTCGGTGAGAGATATGAGACCGCTGCGTCTCACAGGTGTCATTCATTATCACTCGCGCCGTCCTCTCACGTCCCTCGTCCTGCTCGTCACAGCCAACTAACTAGACATTTTGTGTGAAATGAATTTCAAACTATTTTGGCAGCTAGCCTTGTAGACGGAAGAGTGATTTGTGATGTTTGCGCTGCTGTTCTGGATTAGTGGGAGTGGCTTGCGGAGCTGTGCAATGTGGTGCATTGTGGGAGTTGTTGTCTTACATACAAATGCACCTTATTTTCTGTCTTTTCTCAATCAAGAGGGCACCAAATTCAAAATTTCTTTTACATTTCGACTACATATATAACCCACTTTCAATAAAGATTAATGTTGAAATGGGTGGAATGACCGTTTAAGGGGCGGCAATATTATAATAAGATCCCCTTCCTAAGTCAGAAGGGGAGCGAAATCTGATCGGTTTATTGTTTACATGCTAGCAGAGAAAGGCCAAAACAAAGTTACTGGGTTGTCACTTTTCATGTTTTCAGGGTTGGTAGATGCACCGGGGACCCAATTATAGCATTTAAACACAGAAAAAGTCAGATATTCATGATGTGTCACCTTTAAAATCTCATTCAAATGATAAGCTTTCGTGATGGGGCAAGCCGTGGAGCGCAGCAACTGAGTCACATCACCTCCCAAAGTTCAGTCTCTGTCAATCCACTACAAATATTGTCTTCAATCTGCCTTTGAGTGTCACCATGAGAGTATTTAGTGTACAAATCAGCGCACTCTCTCAAAGAGAAACACTTCCAATTGCCGCTCATTTTAAATCAAGGCATTTCTGGGAAAACTGGCAACTTCTTGGACATACAGTATTACATTTCAGCTAATACTTCTGAAGTTCTTCAGTATGTGTGTGTGCGTTTTTGGACTTACGCTGGCCCCACTGTCCACTGTTAGGGTTCAGGTAATTCGGGTACAATCCTTGAGGTTTGTCCAGCCGATTCAGCACCTTTCTGATGTTCATTACCTGCAATGCCAGAGCACACATCGCTTATATCACCACATCCAATTATTAAGTCATAGCTAAGCTCATCCACTATAGTAAGCCACTGAAAACCATAAACAGCCTCTGTGATGCAACCGATGTCTTCCAGGGGACAGACTCATAAATCTATAGACTAGGTCACTTTCACAGTTTGTACAGCCTCATTCAGAGCTTGTAATAGTGTCATTTGTCTGTGTCTATATCGCAAGTCAGGTCAGCGGATTCATTTGGTGAGAAATCAGATCTGAGAATTGCAGCGAAACGAGCATCAATAAAACGGTTATGAGCAGAGGTCAATCTGGGTCACTGTGGTCAGTTCTTCTAACAGTTCATGACCCCTACAAGTTTACATTTAGTTCAGCATAGCGTTTAATGCACTGCAGAGGTGTAACGCCTGAACTGCTGCTCACCTTCTCTGCAAAAACTGGTTTCCCAGAGAGTGCACTGAGGTGCATGAACTCCAAATGCAGCGTCCCGTATTCTGCGAGAATGCTGCTTCCTCCTGACGCCCATGGCCAGTTTCTGCCGATCCCACTGCAGGAAGAGGAATGAAGAGAGATTAGGCTTATTTGTGTAACTGAGCAATCATGAGCTGTGTACACATTTTGTGCTCTGAAAACTTTCAACCAGTCAAAACTGACCAGTTTTCTTAAACCGAAAAACATGAAGCGGCATTGTTTTTTCTGAGTAAAAACAAAACAAAACGGGTAACACTTGATTTTACAGTGTCCTTGTTACATATGTTACATCCACGTATAGTAATAACAGTAAATTATGCATAATTACATGCAACTAACCCTCAGCCAAATTCTAATCCTATCCGTACTTAAATATCTATAATTACACTGTAACAGACACCTTAAAACAAAGTGTAAAAAACAAACAAAAACAAACAAACAGTATATCAGTGAGAAATATGGCAGGACTTGATTGATGACACCAATATTATTGGTAAGAATTTCTGTTGATTCAGAGGCTTAAATACATGCATTATTTTTACCCTGCGGTTCAAAAGTTTGGGGTCATTACGTAAACAAAAAAAAAGAAAAAAGAAATCAATACTTTAATTTAGCAAGGATGCATTAGGTTAAATCAAAAACAATAGTAAAGATAATTAAAATGTTATATAAAAAATGTTATTGGCATATTAAAGCAATTTCTGAAGGATCATGTGACACTGAACACTGGAGTAATGATGTTGAAAATTCAGCTTTGCCATCACAGGAATAAATTACGTTGTAAAAAACAAAAACAAACAAACAAACAGATATTTGAAGTTGTCATAATATTGCACAATATGATTACTTTACTGTATTTTTTATCAAATAAATGCAGCCTTGGTGAGCATAAGAGACTTTCAAAAACATGTAAATGTGAATATATATTGTGTATATTTCACACACACACACACACACAGTATATATGGATTAATTATAGTTTTACAGAAGCAAGTTCTAGACTTAGAAAATGCTAAAACAATTATAAATAATGAAATAATTATTTCAAGACAATTACGGTTTGCTTATCCGTAGTTTACAAGTTTTACCTTCCTGCTTTTTATTTACCATGTCACTGAATTGATAATTAATTTCCGACTAGAGTTTATTCAAACATAATTAATCACACCACTTCTGACAGTTGCCAAGTTGATTTCATAGCCTTATTTTGCAGAGGGGCCATGTTCTCCTCCTGTGATTAGATCCGTCTTTATTGATTTTCACTGGCACGGTTCCATCTAAACCCTGACAACTTAACTCCGGCCTGGAAAAGGAAGCCACCAGTACGCCACGTCTCCTGACCAGCGTTCACTACCCCGACAGCAGATCCGCTCTGCACAGGACTCTGTCTCTACACCAATTATGAAGATAAATTACTGCTGAGTAATGACATGTAATCACAGCTTTAAAAGGACGACACTCTCCACTTTATTTTTAAAACCTAATTCTACAAAACAGACTGTGTAAGATATTTATATCATTAAGTCAATAAATTACCCACAATAGCTCTGGCCAGGAGGAACTGAGTACTGCTAAAGTACTCTTAACGGTTTAATTTGGACAATGGTTTTATGTGAATGTTTTTCTGTGTGTGATGCAATTAGATAGCAAGGAATTTATAGGCACATCTGTATAATTAATGAACAATCGTTTTGACTATACATAAGAGGATATTTTCTAGCCTGTGGCAGCAAATTCTTAACAAAAACTGAGGCAATGGCCTCAAATGCAGTGCTGGGCAGAATTATTTGCCCCCTTGGTAAATATGATCAAAGATGGCTGTACATTATTTTTTTTTTTTTTTAAATGCAATGGTCTCTGATCTCTTGTCAGGTGTTCTCCAAACTCATCAGGCATTATAGGAGAAGACTCAGAGCTGTTATCTTGGAAAATGGAGTTTGCAAAAAGTATTTAATAAAAGGGGGCGAATAATTGTTCCCAACATGTTTTGGAGAAAAACATTTATTTCATAATGTGATTTCCCCCCACTTTCAATTCTTTTACTTCAAGGTTAGATTTTTGCTTTTTTTTTTAAAAAAAATATATATGTATCAAAAGGATTAACAATGCAGATTTATTTCTTACAGCCATCTTTGATCATATTTACCAAGGGTGCAAATAATTCTGACCAGCACTGTATCAGGCACTAGCAGGAAAAGCGTGCAAACACCTCTGGAGAGTTGCTCCCAATGTCATCATTTTTTACACAACGCTGATCTGCCTCTGGCACTATAGACCTCTGCCTGTTACACAAGCTGCAGGGCTCTACAGTGCAGGTATTTGTGCGAGGAAATTGCTGTGTGCTAATGTGAAAATGCATTCAGTGACATCTGACACCTGAACAAAACTCGTTAACATATAATACTAGCACTATCACTCAAATTACAATGTGATCGGCTGCTTCTCAAAGTCAACAAAAGAAAGAAATCCCACATGTTTGCAACCATTTAAGGATGTTTTTCAGTGTCTGGACTTAAATTACAGCATATACTCTACCGTTCAAAGTTTGGGGTCGGTAAGATTTTTTTAATGTTTTAGAAAGAAGTGTCTTATGCTCTAAAGCATAGGTTCTCAAAGTGCGGCCCGCCGAAACATTTCTGGCGGCCCGCGATAACATCTGTAAAACTGTTAAAACTATTGCTTTGAAAAAATGAATATCTCCGTTTAGTGGTGTTTAGCGGCATCCATAGGCATAAGCGGTAATTACATGGTCCGACCGACCGATCGCACTTGACCTCACTCCCAAGGCCACCAGGAACAGTGGTTGTCTACACAGGAATAGGAATCGTGGCCAACCGAAACCAGCACCACAAATCCCATTGCAATTTAAAAGGGTATGTTGACCAAGTAATCAATATTCAATGTGACTTAATAATAATCTTAACAATGTCAAGCTTATTAATAGCCGCGTTTCCATTACCTTTCAAAATGTTCGCGGGCGCGAACACTTGCATTTTCCTATCAACAGTGGAAACAACTTAAACTAGTCTATCATTTCTGGTCATACAGAAAATAATAATGCATTATTCGCAACTTCTTTTATTTGTGTAAACTCATAACAAGAAAACGTGCTTTTGTAAAATAAAATAAAAATATAGCTGCGAGCAGCGATTACGGGCCCAAGCCGGTGGCACCGCAACCCCGGTGCCTTTAGTTACCTAAAGGCACCGGGGTGGCGGTACCACCGGCTTTGGCCCTTCATCGCTGCTCGCAGCTATATTTATTTATATATATATATATATATATATATATATATATATATATATATATATATATATATATATATATATATATATATAAAGCCGGTGGCACCGCCACCCTGGTGCCTTTAGGGTTATTGTGCACGACGTGCAAAAACGTAACCCTGCTTTGACTGTCGAAAAGAAGTGTGCTGTAGAGCTTGTATCAGTGTGGGCTCTGCAAAAGTGTGCATTGAGGGCACATGTCAACCACAAAGTATGCGAGAGCAACCTTCTGAAAGGTCAGGTCTACATCCAGGTCTACATCTGCCGTGTGTTTACATCATAGTAGTGAAGTTTGAAGCAATCAGGTGATTTCAAAGCTTTTTGAAAGTGACAGACTTCCTGCTGCCAGTTGGTGGCGCTATAACCGGGGTGGCGGTGCCGCCGGCTTTGGCCCTTTCACGCTGCTCGCAGCTATATTTATATATATATATACACACACACACACACACATATATATATATATATATATATATATATATATATATATATATATATACATAAATATATATATATTGTTTTTTTAAGAGACAAGACAGAATATTACTTGCCTGATCTGATTAGAAAAATAGTGTTTGTGTGTGTGTGTGTGTGTGTGTGGCGTAATTGAACAATGTAGACATAAAGACATACTCCGTCCTTTTGTTCATACAGGACATTATTCAAACTGCAAAGTGTTTACTTATATTTGTGTACACTCGCAATAAAACACAACATTGTGCTTTTGTCAAACTATAAACTCTTGTCAAACTGTAAACTACAACTGTCACCCAACCAAAATCTCTTACACACACACACACACACACACACAGTTTAAAAGCAAAAAATATCAAACAATCCTATTTAAAAACAGTCTGTGGGAGCCATCTTTTGGACATTCATCATATCGCATTGGTTTTCATTTCTTGTCATCAAACAGAGCCCTAATCTGTTTATTTTTTCAGTTACACATTCTACATTGATTAAAAAAGAAAAAATTAAAGGTGTTAAAATTAAAGGTGTAAATATATGATCTGAAATATAGCACATTCATGTAAAATTCATTTAGGTTCGATTACCAAACATACAATCTTAATGTAATTTTTAAGCAAACAATACATTTAAAATATATGGGTTGTATGACTATTTTTTTATATAAAAAGATATATATCCAAAAAGACAAGGTCTAAAGTTTAACAAGGGTTAAACTCTTATCACTGTAACAGACACAATCACACACACAATCACACACACACACACACAAGTCAAATCACTTACATTTTAGATGCAATATTGACTTTTTTTCTGTTTCAGCAGCGAAAATAGTTAAACAAAGATCACAGCAGAACCATCGCGCATCTCACAGCAACGCGTTCTCATTACTGAATGATTCAGCATTTTGAACGAATCGGTTGACTCAAAGATTCAATGACCAATCAATCCATAAACATCTATCTCATAAGTGTTTACTTATTTGTGAACAATCGCAATAAAACACAACATTGTGCTTTTGTCAAACTGTAAACTACAACTGTCACCCAACCAAAATCTCTTTTTTATTTTATACAGAAATAAATAATCTATCATTCAGATGAGAATAAAGTTAGTGTTAGGTCAAATTTTAAGGAAAACTCTGAAATATAGCACATTCATTTAAAATTCATTCAGGTTCAATTACCAAACATACAAATCTTAATGTAATTTAAAGCAAACAATACATTTAAAATATATGGGTTGTATGCCTATTTTTTTTTATATAAAAAGATATATATCCAAAAAGTAACAGACACAATCATACACACACACACACACACAC